CTTCAACTCCAGAACTCCCTGGCACGTATGTTTTCGCTAGTCTATTACTGTTCCACATGCTTCAGTTTTTGTTGATATCCCATGGCAATTCCGAATATGTTTTAAATGGAAGTTGCTCTTTTCTCTCTTAAAGAGAGTTCACTCTACATGCTTTCTGGGGGCTTTTCTATGTTTGATCGTTTTGGGTTACCCTCTTTGTTTTGAGTTTTAACTACAGTTTAAGGACATTGCCTTGACGCACTTCAGTTTGGAAATTCTCATTCACTTGCCATTTTCCTGACTAAACACTAGTTAACATTTTGTGTCATCATTCCGAGCTTCCTTCATTTCTTTCAGTGGTTTTTGGCACTTGGCCCAGCTCAACTTGCATTTCCGTCCAAAGTTCAGAGTGAGAAGGGATAGTTTGACATGCAACCAGTTGCCCTGGAAGCAATTCCAACTCATGGCAACCCCACGTGTCTCAGAGTACAACTGTGCTCCATAGGGTTTTTAATGGCTGATTTTTTGGAAGTAGATCTCCAGGCCTTTCTTCCGAGGCACCTCTGGGTGGACTCGAACCTCTAACCTTTCAATTAGCAGCCGAGAGTATTAACCATTTGCACCACCCAAGGACAGCTGGATATCAGGCAGTTCTTAATAGGCTCACAGTCATCTAGGCTCCCGCACATGGGAGGGCACTGACAGCCATGTGAGCCTCCATGTCATATTTGCATTTGCAGAAGGGTTTGCCCTGCAGACCTAAAGGGCAAACAGACAGCTGAGAGCAATAACAAATGAGCATTGATGCCCTTAAACAGCACTGTCAACAAAGCAAGGAGAATCTTTGCCCAAAGAGTATCTTCATGTCTTCTCTGACCTAGACACAAAATGCAGCCTTCTGCACCTTGAATAAATCTGCTGTGGTGGCCCTTTCTTCATTTTGTTTGCTTTGAAGACGCACTTTTCTTAAGGTATTTTGGACTTGAAACTAAAGACATTAAAATTCTATTGCTCACAGTCTAGTTTGAAGCTCAAAAGCTTTGTCTTGAAATAGCTTACAGTGATGTTCTTCCTGACGTTTTTCCTAAATGCTCACTCTTGTCCTCAGCGGTTTTCTAAGTCCTTTGGAGTGTAAAGTATCCTTTTTCTAAGGCAGCAGGTCTCAAACCTGGTCTGTGGTCTCAGAATCACTTTACACTCTTAAAAATTATTGAAGACCCTAGGGAGATTTCGTATATGTAGTTTAGATCTACTTTTGTTTTTGTGACTAGGTGCTGCTGAGTCTGTTCCGACTCGTAATGACCCCGTGTATAACAGAACGAAACACTGCCCGGTCCTGCGCCATCCTCACAATCATTGCTATGTTTGAGTCCATTGTTGGAGCCACTGTGTCAATCCATCACGTTGAGGGTCTTCCTCTTTTTCGCTGACCCTCTACTTTATGAAGCACGATGTTCTTCTCCAGGGACTGATCCCTCCTGATAACATGTCCAAAGTATGTGACACGTAGTCTTGCCATCCTTGTTTCTAAGGAGCTCTCTGTCTGTACTTCTTCCAAGACAGATTTGTTCGTTCTTCTGGCAGCACGTGGTATATTCACTATTCTTCGCCAACACCACCATTCAAAAGCATCAATTCTTCAGTCTTCTGTATTCATTTTCCAGCTTTTGCATCCATATGAGATGATTGAAAACACCATGGCTTGGGTCAGGCACACCTTAGTCCTCAAAGTGCTATCTTTAGTTTTAATACTTTAAAGAGGCCTTTTGCAGATTTGCCCATGGAATAAGTCATTTGATTTCTTGACTGCTGCTTCCATGGGCGTTGATTGTGGATCCAAGAAAAATGAAATCCTTGACAACTTCAATATTTTCTCTTTATCTACTTTAATAGAGATTAAAACTGAGAAATGTATTAAATGCTATTAATCTATTGAAAAATTACAATAATAAATTCATTTGACATTAAAGAGCATATTTTTATGAGAAGTTGCTGTATTTAAAAAAATAAATTCACGAGAAGAGTGACACTGTTTTCCATTTTCACAGATCTCAATGTCTAGCTTAACAAAAAAGCTAGATTCTCACATCTGCTTCTGTATTCATTCTGTTGTGACATCACGAGTTACATAGCCTCTGGAAAACTCCACTGTACACTTGTGAGAGAATCCTAGTGAAAAAGACAAATAACATTTTAGCATTATTATGAAAATGTTTTTGACCCCCAGGCAGTGTTGGAAACTCCCTGTCATGGATTGAACTGTGTTCTCAAAAAATGTGTGTCAACTTGATGAGGCCATGATTCCCAGTATTGTGTGGTTGCCTTCCATTTTGTGGTTTGATGTAATTTTCCTATGTGTTGTAAATCCTTCTCTGCCTGTGGTTAATGAGGCAAGATTAGGTTGTGTTAAATAGGATTAGCATGGGATGTAACACCGTTACTCAGATCATATCCCTGATCTGATGTTAAGGGGAGTTTCCCTGGGTGTGGTCTACATCATCTTTTATCTTACAAGAGATAAAAGGAAAGAAGCAAGTAGAAAGAAAGCAGTCTCATACCACCAAGAAGGAAGCACTAGGAGCAAAGCATATCCTTTAGACCCAGGGTCCCTATGCTGAGAAGCTCCTAGACACAGGGGAAGATTGATGGCAAGGACCTTCCCTCAGAGCCGACAGAGAGAGCCTTCCTCTGGAGCTGGCATCCTGAATTCGGAATTCTAGCCTCCTAAACTTTGAGACAATAAACCTTCTGTTTGTTAAAGCCATCCACTTGTGGTATTTCTGTTATAGCACCAGTAGATAGCTAAGATTCTCCCAAGCCACACTTTGAGAACTGCTACCCTAAAATAGCAAGCTTTTCAAGTTTTGCATGCAGCTTCTTTTGATCCTAAGCTTTTTTCCCTTTAAAGCAAGACGTGTTTATTGCTTTTCATCCTTTCCTGAATCCCCATCCTTCCATCTGAGATCATTTTCCTTCTGCCTGAATGATGAATGTTAATATTTCTTTTATTGTGGATACGCTAGTGATTGGAGCCTTGGTGGCACAGTGGTTAAGAGCTCAGCTGCTAACCAAAAGGTCAGCGGTTTGAATCCACCAGCCACTCCTTGGAAGCCCTATGGAGCAGTTCTGCTGTGTCCTGTAGAGTCACTGAGTCACAATCAACTGGATAGCAACAGGTTTTGATTTACCTAGTAATTATCCTGTCAGTCTTAGCTTGTTTGAAAATGTCTTTATTTCACTTTCTTTACTGAATGATAATTCCCCTACAGAACTCAAATTGGCAGTTATTACTTTAATATATTGAAAAACCACTGTCTTTGGCCAACACCTCTGTTGAGTTGTTGCTAGGTGCTGTCTTAGTTATCGAGTGCTGCCATAACAGAAATACCATAAGTGGATGGCTTTAACAAACAGAGTTTATTCTCTGATTGTCTAGTAGGCTAGAAGTCAGCATTTAGGGTGCCAGCTCCAGGGGACGGCTTTCTCTCTCTGTTGGCTCTGGGGGAAGGTCCTTGTCATCAATCTTCCCCTAATCTAGGAGCTTCTTAGTGCAGGAACCCTGGGTCCAAAGGATGCAGTCACTCCCAGCTCTTGTTTCTTGGTGGTATGAGGTCCCTATGTCTATTCACTTCTCTCTTCTATATCTCAAAAGAGATTGGCTTAAGACACAACCTAATCTTGTAGATTGAGTCCTGCCTCATCAACATAACTGCCTCTAAGCCTACCCCATTAACATCATAGAGGCAGGATTTACAACACACAGGATAATCATATCAGTTGACAAAATGGTGGGCAATCACACAACACTGGGAATCATAGCCTAGCCAAGTTGACACACATTTTTGAGGGACACAATTTAATCCATGACAGGTACCATGGAGTCAGTTCCAACTCATAGCGACCTTATGTACAACTGAACAAAACACTGCCAATTCCTACACCATCCTCTCAATCATTGTTATGTTTGAGCCCCTTGTTGCAGCCACTGTGTCAATCCAGCTCATTGAAGGTCTTCCTCTTTTTTACTGACCCCTCTGTTGAGGGGAACTCTAATTTGTTCTTTTGACTATAATTTGATTTTTTTACTCTGGCTTCTTTTAAGATTTTCTCTTTGACTTTTCATTTTTATTTCAGTTTTATTATGATGTTTCAAGGTGTTGATTTCCTGTATCTGCCTGCTTGGTTTCTCTAAGGATTTTTTAATCTTTGGCATGATTTTTTCCATCACTTTTGGAAAACTGTCAGCCATTATCTCTTCAAATATTTCTGACCCATCTTTCTTTCATTTCCTTCTATGACTCCAATTACATGTATGGTAGGTTTTCTTCTGTATCTCTTATCCTTTGTCTCCCCGTGCTTCTGAATGGTTTCTTCTCACCTATCTGTCTGTTAAGTAATTCTTCAACTGCTACCAAACCCGTCCAGTTTCTATTTAACTCTTATTAAAATCTGCCAGGTGGTTTTTGTTTTTGAACGATCTTTTGTTCTCTACTGAAATTTTACATCTGTTTTTTTATTTCCTTGAAAATAGTAAGCATGGTCATTTTAACGAGTGCCTGTTAGGTCCGTTACCTGGAGCCCCTGTGGATGTGTTTCTATTGTCAGCTGAGAAGAATTAATATGCAAAGAATAACAGCATAGAAATAATGCAAAGCAAAAACCTTAACAATACATAGAGAATGGCAGGAAACAGATGGGAGACAACTTCTTGGCCTTTAACGTATCAAGTAAACAGGGCCCTTTCCTTAGGTTGATCATCTCGTCCTAGTTTGTCCAGGACTGAAAGTCCCGCGTCCGGAAAACCCATGGACGGTTAGTCACCCTATTACGTACGACAACGCCAGTCCCACAACCCTCCCTGCTTCACACACAACCTCTTCGGGCGCTCCGCTGGCCTAGCCATTCCCAGGGCTCCCGCCAGAGGGCGCTGTGGTGCGCAGGCGCGACAGCGGGGGCGCGCTGTCTCCACGGCGGGGGCGCGCTGTCTCCGCGGCGGAGCCGCTGCTACTTCCGCTTTCCCGGCAGGCCTCGCGCGGCGTCTGTGCGCTACGTGACCTTCCGAGTCGTTGGCTGTGGGTCCTCGGTTCGGCGGAGCCGTTCGTCCTGCGCCGAGGTGAGTGCGGGGCGGACCCGTTGCCGGGAGTGCGGAGGAGGCGGGGGAGCGGTCGGCGGGCGGGAGGGGGCCGCAGACTCCCGGCCCCACCGCGGCCTCACTGACCTTGGGGTCCTTGCATCCCGACTTTTCCGCCGCGGCCTCCCGAACCGGGACCACAGTTGAAACCCACTGCCATCGAGTCATCCTGACCCATAGCGACACTGCAGGACAGAGTAAACTACCCAATAGGGTTTCCCAGGCTGTAAGCTTTACGGAAGCCGACTGCCACGTCTTTCTCCCGCGGAGCGGCTTTTGGATTCGAACCGCCGACCTTTCGGTCACCACTGAGCCACCAGAGCTCCTGCCTGAACCGTAAAGGGGCCCAAATATTAGCTCGTGGTGCCCGCATTACGCCCTTTTCCTTGGTGTTAACGCATTTAATGCGCCTGCGTTACCGTACTGTTTTAACTAGGAGCATGCTTTGGCCATCAGTGTCAACGGCTTAACCAAGGTCATACACGATTGAGGTAGAATCCAAACCAAGAATTCTTACCTCGATTTTAGGGCCTTCTCGCTTTACACCTCAAGTTTCCCTGCAGCACACCACACTTGCGTCCCATTTAGTCGAGTGGTGACTGGAATTACGTGAGCTCAGCCCTGAATCCCAGGCCCGGGGTCGGTGGGCCAGACTTCTCCTCTCTCCAGTGTAAGGCCAGGCGGTGGTTTACTGTTCACGTGAGGTGCAAAGCTCCGCAGACTGAAGCGACACAGTAGCCCCCGTTTGACCTTTGAGTGGGGTGGGCTGAAGGACCCAGTGCTGTAAGACTGTCACACAGCTAGAAGATGGGCTGGATGGGACGCGCTTGGAGGGAGGACTAGTGGCCCTCTCTTTGTTAAATACTAGGGACATGCCACGCGTCTGGCCAAATACACATCCTTGACCAAAAAGAAAGGGGAGAAAGAAAAGGTTTAAGTATTTGCAGTTTACCATGTACCAGTCCCTAGGTCCTGAGCAAGGAGCCCTGGTGGCGCAGCGGCAGAAGCGCTCGGCTGCTAACTGAAAGGTCAGCGGTTCAAACCCACGAGCCGCTCTGCAGGAGAAAGATGTGGCAGTCTGCTTCCATAAAGATTACAGCCTTGGAAACCCTATGGGGCCGTTCTGTTCTGTGCTATAGGGTCACTATGAGTCGGAATCAACTGAACAGCAGTCAGCTTGATTTGGGTTTTGATAGACCCTGAGCAAAATATCAAGACAATTAAAGTTTCTTTGGTCCCTTCTCACCTCCTTTGCACCCTCCCAGTTTACCCTCTTCTTCTGGACCTTGCTCTGTCTAAAGCCCCACCTGGCTGGGCCTGCCCTCCCTAAGTGAAGCCATCTCTTAAAGTCCTTCTTCTAGAATCCCAGTGACTTAGCTCTGTTGCCACCAGCGGGGTGTTTGTGGCAATCCTTTCTGTTATTGCTATGATCGTTTACTGAGTTTATTCCATGCCAGGCATCAGGAGCCCCACGGGACAGGTGGAGGTATCCCTCTTTCACAGAAAGGAGACTTCCAAAACACAGCTTCAGGGCCTTGCCCAAGGTTAAGAGCAGAGCAGCGGCTGAACTGGTGTTGGAACTCAGGGCTCCTAAGCTTTTCAACCCCCATTGGTCCTCCGGAACCTCCCTTCCGCCCTCCCTTCTTTCTTCCCAGTCATTGCTGGGCTCAGAGAGGAGAGGAGTTCCCTCCCGGGGCTGCTGCTGGGCCTGTGTGCATCCCTCTCAGGGTCCCTTCCCAAGGCAGAGCTGTTGGTACCTTAGAACTTCATGCTTTGTCTGAGCATCCAGTACAGCTGAGGACAGGAAGTTTGAGGGCAGACACTTTTGCGAGGGGTCTGGACACGTCTGGCCCTCCCAGGCGGACGCGGCCATGTTTCCAGGGTTACACTTGGGGTGGTCTTTGGGGCCTTTTCCTCAGTGGAAATAAGTTTTCCGGTGGGAGGAGCCGGGGCCCAGGCCTGGAAGACAGACAGGTTGTGATTGGAGCACAGACCTGGTGACCTGTAAGACTAAGACAGGTGCAGTTCTGCCTACCAGCTGTGTGATCTCGGGCACCTTCTCCAGGTGCCTGCTCTGTAGGCTTGGGAAGTAGCACAGGAAGTAATCACGTAAAGCACCTAGCACATGATAAATGCTGCTAAATTTGAAGAATGTTCTTAGAATAAAAAACCACCAACTAAATACATTGCCACTGAGTCGATTCCGACTCATAGCAACCCTATAGGACAGAGGAGAACTGCCCCATAGGATTTCCAAGGAGCAGCTGGTGAATTCCAACTGCTGACCTTTGGGTTAGCAGCCTGGGCTCTTAACCACTGCGCCACCAGGGCTCCCTGAGAATAAAAGGTGAGCCCTTCGCCATGGCCTCCAAGGTCTTAGGTGACCTGACCCGTCTTCCCTCCCCTGGCCCAGCAATGGCATGTTCTGTAACAAACACTTAATATACGATACCAGATACTGTAAACACTCAACGCAGGAACACGTTTCATCTTCCAAACAGCCCTTGAGGGGCTGGGGTTGGGGGGAGGCGTTTTATCTCTATTTTACAGGTGTAGAAACGGGCAGGTTAAATTAGCTTGTAAGTGACGAAAGCAGGACATGAACCCGGGCAGCCACAGTGGCCTTCCTTGTGCCTCCTGGCTCTCCAGGTGCATTCGGACCTGGGGGTCTTGGCACACACGCTGCTTCTGCCTAAGACATGTCTCGCAGATCTCTCAGCGCTGTTTCTCAGTTGCTGACAAATGCCTGGCACCTGGTACATGCTATGAGTTGGAATTGACTAGGCAACAGCGGGTTCGGTTTTGTTTCTTTTAGTACATGCTCAGTTGACATTTGCTGAATGAATGAGTGGTCACACAATCCAGGTTCCTGTAATGGGAAACCAGAGGAAGGTGAAGAGCAGTGAGGTTCTGTGTGACCCAAGCAGTGGTGTGAGCAGACAATATGTCTGGGGAGCGGTGTGAGCAGACAATATGTCTGGGGGGCAGGGGATGCAGTGGCAGTTAACTGAAGCCAAACATTTTTAAGTAAAATGGAAAGTGCTCGGTTCTAGTTACACCTGACAGTGGTTTAAATTCCTACAGATTAATAGACCATTTTAGATGTTAACAAATCATATTAAAATGAAAACGAGGGTACCTGATTTTGGAGTCTGTAGTGTACGAAATTGTAAAAATAATCAAAAGCATTATCTTGAGGCCTGCATATAAAAGTGAACTGTGTGAGTTCAGATGTTAATGGCTTTTCCCAATCAAGCCCTGTAAATAATTATTCCTATTTATTGACTAACCTCTGTCATAATTGCAGCTCTTAAGACCTGACCTCATCATCTTAGGCCATCTGTTTTATATTTCTCAGTGAATCTCGGAGCTGAGATACAGTGATCAGAGTGTACCCAGGCCTGCGTGCTCTTTTCACAGGGCGATCACCATGCCCTGACCACATTCCTTTACAGCTTTGAACACCAACACAGTTCTTAACGTGATGAGTGCATGCTAGTTTTTCAGTCTGAAACTTTAGAAAGTGAGTGTGGTTTTGGGCCTAGCGTTAGTGGAGGGTAACCGTGGCAGAGAGGAGACATTCAGATGACAGTGCAGGACAGCGCGGTCGAATGGGAGGCAGCAAGGGTGAGTCGCACGTGAAGGCTGTGGACAGGATGAGAGTAACAGACGGTGGAGAGCAGGAGAGCATGAGCCGCCGTGTGAATGGGGATGGCTGTGGGGAAGGGGCCAGCAGTCTGTAACAAGAGCGGCTTCCTGTCGGGCAGCAGTGGGAAATAGGGTCAAACCTAATGAATAAATGGAAATCTTCCACTGGTTAGGTTTAGAACAGTGTTGTGTGCCTTCAAGTCACTTCTGACTCATAGCGACCCCATGTGACAGTGGAACTTTCCCTTAGGGTTTCCAAGGCTGTAATCTTTATGGGAGCAGATCAGGTCTTTCTCCCACAGAGCTGCTGGTGGTTTCAAACCTCCAACATTTTGGTTAGCAGCCAAGCCCTTAACCATTGTGCTACCAGGGCTCCTAGATTTCGAACAGTAGTCATGTTAATATTTATCGCTGTGTTCTTCATTTTCAGATGCTTCAAGGCCTTATTAAAAACGTTTGGATCCCCATGAAGCCCTACTACACCCAAGCTTACCAGGAGATTTGGTTAGGAACGGGTTTGATGAGCTTCATCGTGTATAAGATCAGGAGTGCTGGTAAGCTTCTTTGTGTTTGATTTATTTGAGATCAAGCAGAAAATTATTCACAAATAGAGTTAAGTTCCTATTGCAAAGGAGCTGCGAGAATTCTGAGATCTCTGTGACTTGGTGCACCTGGCGTGTCTTCATTGGGGACCTCTGACAACAGATGTGTCCTGAGGGAGGGAGGGCGTGAGGCTGCAGTTCTTAACTAGTAGTCGCCTCCGTCACCTGGGGGGCTTCTTTGTGTGCACACACTGCAGGGCCTGCACCTGGCCAGCTCTGACCCTAACTCCCATTGACAGGACGTGTGAGAGCAAGGAGAAGGAGTTAAATGTCACCGGAAGGTAACAGATGTTACTGAGGGAGTGTGGGTCCTTGGTCAGGTGTGAGATGGCAGGGTACTTGTGGTTAAGGGGAAAAGGTCCTCACTGGTTAGAGGAGCACACTGTAGCCTTTGAGGAAAACGACTGACTCACTGGTGTTTGCGTTACAATACACCAGGAAAAAGAGGGAGAGGTGAAAGGTCAGGGGTGGACCACACAAGACCGGCAGTTGGCAGAATCAGCCATGGTAATCACTGAAGCTGGGTGATGGCATGTGGAGGTAGCTTTCTCTTCCCTGTGTTTCTGTGTATGAACATTTCTATCGTAAAACGTTTGGGGAGAAAAAGAACAGTACCAGAAGGAAACAAGATGATGCCTGGCTTGGTATCTAAAAGGCCAGTGCCGTGGGGAAAGAGGACGAGGGGGAGCTGTTCAGAGTAAGAAACTGAGAAGTCGTAACAGCCAGATACAGTGCAGGAGCTTGGTGGGATGCTGGCGGGGGTCACGGGGAGGGCTTGTCAGCTGGAAAAGATACTGAGGGAGATTTGAACACTGTCTTGCTACTGGGGAATGAGGAATTTTCCTAGGCATGTTGGTGGTGGTGCAGATATGTAGGAGAGTAACTTTAAGAGATGCAGTCTGAAATATTTAATGGTGAAGTGTTGTCATATATGGTGTTTATTGTACTTTTTCTAAAAAATTTTTCTTAATAAAAATTTAGGGAAAGGTAACCAGTTGGTTCTCAGTAGATCAGAGATAGGACCTGATCATGTGTATCACTAAGCCATTGATTAGAAAGAGGAGGAAACCCAAGTGTCCATCCGTACATGAGTGGGTAAACAAACCCGGTGTATGTAGGATGGAACGTTCCTCAGCCGTAAAGAGAAAGGGACTTCTGATACGTGCTATGACATGGATGAACCTCGAAAACATCGTGCCGAGTGAAATAAGTCAGTCACAGGAGGACAAATACTGTATGATCCCACTTGTGTGAAATACCTAGAATAAGCAAATGCATAGAGATCCAAGTTTATTAGAGGCTGGGGGAGGGGAAAATGAGTTACTGCTTGTAGGGTACTAAGGTTCTGTTTAGGGTGATAAAAGGGTTTTAGAAATAAATAATGGTAATGGTTGGACAACATGATAAATGTAATTAATGTCACTGGGTTATACTCTTTAAAATGGCAATTTTTATTGTTAAATATATTTTGCCACAATAAAAAAAAATTAAAAGCAATTTTTTTTAAAGAGGAAGAAGAAAACTTTATATGTGAGGAGAACTTTGAGGACATGGCTGCCGTGAGCCCCGCAAGAGCTGTTGCCTGTTCACACAGCATCTTTGGTAGCAGCTTGGCCGTTCTTGGCTGTGAGACATGACGTTAACTTTTCCGTTACCTGAAAACTTCCTGTAATAGCTTTACTTAAGCTGGGAGCTTTCAGGCAAATGGTGATTTCAACGGTGAGTTGACTAAAGGCATTTTTTTTACAGTATCGATATGACCAAGTTTTCCCTTTTATTTTAGATAAAAGAAGTAAAGCTTTGAAAGGTAAGAGTCTTGCTTTTTAAAATGGCATTGTTGGTGGGGAATGAGCAGCACACATTTATTTCCTCTGTTCTAAATGAAGCTGCTGCATGGGTCAGTCAACCCCTGAGACGAAGTGGAGGACTTCAGAACGTGGCGTCTCCTGCCTGCTGGAAAAGAGAACTCTGACTTCCTGCTTTTTGTAGTTTGAGTGTTAAAAACCACCGCTCACCCCTCTGGGTCAAGTAAAACTCCCAAGAGCGATAGAAAGATGGGTTATCAGAGGTAGCTGGGTCACCAGTAGAGAAGCACAAGTTAGCTGCGTGAGCACACCATCTTTGTGAAATCCCCTAGGGACATGATTCTAGTGTATTTTGGAAGAAAGCACCGCGTGAATTTATGTCTGTGCTGACGTTTCTCTTCAGTTTGTTTTCCAAACAACAATGAAGCATGGTGGGTTGAGTCCCGCACAAACCCAGTGCCGGCTCATGAGGAAGAGCCGTCCCCGCCCCTCGTCTTTTGCACCTGCGGGGTTTACACAAGCCCGTGGACCCTCAGCGTCCCACGTGGAGATAGTCCTCCGTACTTTTCTATAGTGTTGGAGAGTGGTGTTTGCGCTCAGACACTGACATCTGCGTGATAAACTGGACCCCCTCGTTCATTCCTTCATGGTCTCTGTTGTGTTTCTGTTCCAAAGCTTCGAGTCCCGCGCCTGCCCACGGCCACCATTAAGCAGCATCACGCGGAGCGCCTTTCAGACGGGACATCATCGGGCTGTAAAGTGTAAAGACAGGGACGGGGAACACGGCTGTCCACTTGTACGAGCACCATTTGCTGGTGGCGTGAATAAACGTGTGAGATGAACCTCTGCCTGTACCGGTCCTGCTTTCAGTGGCGTCGCCCACAGCTCCTTTCTGGGTGCCTGCCGTAGTCTGAGCCAAGCCCTGGTACTGAACACAGCAGACGGAGCGGGGTCTCGCTGAGCCGCCCCAGCTCTGGGAGTGAGGAGCTGCAGCGTGAGCGTCTCAGTTATCACAGGCCGAGGGTCAGGGTCTAGGCACTCACTCACACCTCCAGTGTCCAATAAACATTTGTTACACGTGGTTCTGCTGCTTGCTCGTGGTCTCTGTGAGCCTCAGCTTTCTCGTTGGAAAAATGGAGATGATGACATGCAAGTTCCAACAGCGTTATTGGGAGGGTCAGTAAGAGAAGGATGGGGAAGCGCTTTCTAAGTTGAGATGCTTTAGAGATACAGGGTGGTGGTAGATCCACATGGTGGGTACAGTTATAAGCTGTAGGAGAAGATTTTACCAGGAAATAATTAATCGCCTAGAAAGTAAAGTACATAGTATAAAAAAATCCATTGATATTTCTCCTAGTGGCACTAATACCAAATGAATGCTACAAAATATTTTTTCCACCGAAGGCAGTTACCAAAACCCCTGGGATTGCGTGCAAAACAGATTCTAAAGCAGTAGGTGTCAGGAGTACAAGTAAGGGCAGCTTAGTGGGAGCCTCACTGTGGAGCAGAAACATCAGCTGGATCCCGTCTGCGGGGCAGGGGCTGGCCCTGATGTTTGTTGCAGACAAGTGGCTGCCCCCTCCTGGTGACCCCTCTGAGCCTCGGTCTCTTCTGTGAATTGGGGGGTGAAACCTGCCTTTCTATGTCACTGACAACCTCAGGGTTGTTGGGCTTGATGAGAAGTTGACGTGGAAGCATTGTGTATCCCCGGAAGGCAGTGTGAGGTTGAGGGCGGTGTTAGAAGAGTGAACTCCGTATCACCTGTAGCAGGAACCAGATTTTTCTTCTGGTTCTGTTCTGGCTCCAGAGTATGAATCTAATGTGATAACAGAAAGAGCCCAGGTTAAAAATTACCCATCTATGGCAGTGGTTCTCAAATGCACGTGTGCTCCGGAATCACCTGGAGGGCTGTGCACAGATTAGCAGGCCCCGGTCCCCGTGTTTCCAATCCAGTGGACTGGCCTGGAACTTCCTAACAAGTTCGCAGGAGATCCTTATGCTGCTGGCCTGGGGACCATGCTGAAAAACCCTGATCTGTACAAAGAATGGGCGCCCTGGCCCTGCCGTGACTCCCACTGTACCTTCACATCCAGGGCTGCTGGTCACTGGGTATGCCAGACACCAGCCCCGGGCCAAGTGTCTAAGAGCGAGCGTTTAGTCCTGAGACCCTAACGAGGTTTCAGAGAGGAGGAAACGGGCTGAGAAAGATGAGTAACGTGCCAGAGGTGTCAACAGCTACGAGAGCTGCGGCCAGGGCTAGGACCCCAGAGTCTGCACTCTGAGGAAGGTAAGGAGCTGGGCGACTGGCCCCTGAAGCCGACAGGAGGCTTGGTGTGCCTGCACCCAGAGCGCCTCCCACGAGGCGTGAGTCAGTCATTTCCCCTTTACAGCACAGGGGTTCCTTCAGTTAAAATCAGCTGAGTAAATAAAAGTTATGTCAACAATCTGGAAGAGAGGTAGCTAGAATTTTTGTGAGGGAGATTGGGGTGAAATGTATTCTCTGAAAAGGAACGGCAGTCTGGGCGGGCTGCCTGCTGCTGTGGGGCATTTGTGGATGGAGAACGATATGCCAAGGCAGGCTGGAGGATGTGAAAGATGGACACCCCTCTGGAAATGTTGCCAAGGACTGTGTCCTATGTCAGGAAGTGGAACAAACCAACCTTCCTGCTACACCAAGTGGTTTCCTGGCCCTCAGATCCAGAACAGAGGTGGTACATTTTGTAACGAGACAGAGACAAAGGCTTTCGTTGCTAACGCAGCACCCACTCACTCCCTACGAGGGAGGGGGAAGCTTCTGGGATCCCTGCGGCTTTGGGAACAGCCAGGGTATGTGCTGGAGGTGGCCTATAGGTGGAGCCAGAGCGCCTGTGGCCAGGGCACTAGGGGACACATAATGGCAGGGACCTCAAGACTTGGCAAACGACTGCGGGGCCCCTGGGGAGCAGATGGGGCCCCTGTGTGAAGGAGCGTCTTCGGCGGCACCGACGGATGGAAGGTGTGCGCCGGGGGCTGTGGGGGCAGCCAGTGTTCTGGAAGGAACCTTGTCACCCCGAACTCACCCCTTCCTTGCATAGTGCTTTTCAGACTACTGTGGAGTGACGCTGAGGTGGAGCAAAGGGAACAAGGACCAGGCAACTGCAGATGTAGCTTTAAATGACTCGCCCTCAAAGACGTGAGCCTCCCCTGGGAGGAGGGTTCCTTCCTCTGCCGCTGTGTCTCCCAGGGGTACGTGCACCCCATGGAGATCTGGGAAGGTGTGCTTCTTAGTGCTGTCAGTGGGTCTGATCTCTTTAGAGCTAAAAGGTACTGCGCACCTGAGCACCCGGCCGTGTTCTGACCGTTCACTTTTAACTCAAACGGACGACAGCCCCCACAAGGCAGGCACTGTTACCTCAGTCCCCACAGGAGGACGTGGAGGCCAGGAGAGGACGCTTAGCTTGCCTGAGTCCCGCAGCTAGTAACTGGTGGAGCCAGGCTTCGCCATGGGCTGCTGCCTTCAGAGCCACGACCCAGACTCACCCTTCTGCACTCTGGCTCCAAGGCACGTCTTCACTTTTTCTGCACCAGGCCCACTCATGCATGGATAATGGCAGATTAAATGAGTTTTAAGATTATCTCTTTTAATATTAATCTAAGATTAATTTTAAAATACATCAGCAAATGCTAGCAAGTCAGAATAGACATGGCGTGGGGAGCAGGCATGTAGCGGAAGTGAGCTTGGCTGTGGTGTGTGTGGGAGTTGGGTGCTGGGTACCTGGGACTTACACAATTCTCACTCCCTTCACATACCTTTAAATTCTCCAAATAAAACGTTTTTTGAAAAACCCTTAAGCAAAAAATAAAACAAGCTATGCAACCAAGGCCTGTCAGTGTTATAACACCTGTCTGAGGAGCTGCGGCTGTGACCCCAAGACCTTGAGAAAACAACTCTGCAGGTGTCCGGTCGGTTCTGTCAGGGAGACGGCCATCTTGTTACTGCTCCTTATAAGGACGCCTGTCGCCCTGGCGTCTGTTACTGAAATGACCAAAGATTCAACTTTGATGTCTGGCGTAGACCTCAGCTAACAAGTGCCAGTCAAGAAGATTGTGGCAGAAGCTCCCATTTTATTAAAGAACAAAACTTACTTTTTAAAATTAAATTTATACCCGAAAAGTGAAATGCTCATCATTATAAATGTGCCTTGATTTCAGCTTGATCTGCTCTTCAAATATAATAATATGTTTGATCTTTTCCTGCCCTCTTCATGCTCAAAGGAGCCCTGGTGGCGCAGTGGTTAATAGCTCAGCTGTTAACCCTAAGGTCGGCAGTTGGAATCCACCAGGTGCCCCTTGGAAACCCTATGGGGCAGTTCTCCTCTGTCCTCTAGGGTCGCTATGAGTCAGAATGGACTCAACAGCAACGGGTAATGCTCAAAAAATATGTTCTAATCCATAATTAGTAAAAGGTCGAGTATTGCAGCTTGCAACGCTTCCAATGCACAGTGTCAGATGAATACTGTTTGAGGAAAAGTTGAATTGAGGTGTCATTTTAAAGGAAACAAATTCAAATTGCTTTTTTAAACGTTTAGCATTTGGGAGTAGGGTGTCCTAGAAATTGTCAAAAGGGAAGACAAAGGTTTCGAGTAGCACAGAGCTGCAGCATGCAAGCCTCCCTGTCTTTCCTGTGAGATAGGCTCTGCTTCGGTAGCTACATGGATTCAGGGTCCGAATTCATGAAAGTGGGCAGTGGGCAGAGCTGGGTGTGGCCCCAGACCCCACGTGCAGCAGGGGGAACTCCCTCCCCCTCCAGCAAGCAGAGGAATTGCGTTTGGGTAAGAGGAGAAAGGCGTGTTTTCATACGCAGGACCAGCGGTCATCATCACCCTGAGATAGCCAGGTTTTCAAGACAGGTCACGAAACCCCACTGACAGCTGCGCTTTGGGGACACTACCCTTGTGAGGAGGACGTAGCTTCCCATAGACAAGTCCTTTCTGGTGCTGCCCTCGTCATGGCCTCCCAGCTCTGGCCCCACCCTGCCGCAGGCCCTCTCTGTGGGTAAGGTAGTGGATAAAGGGTCTGGTCTCCGGTCATTAGCCATGGTTCCCACCACAGGCAGTGGACATTTGAGAGCAAGTAAAAGATGCTGTTCCCCCTCAGTAAAAACTAAATTAAATCATGTTGTTGGGATTGGATTGTTACAAATGTTTGGGGAACTGGTGAAAACTTAGGGATGGTTTCTCAGTTATCTAGGGCTGCTGTAACAGAAATGCCACAAATGGGTGGTGTTAATGAACAGAAATTTATTCTCCCACAGTTTAGGAGGCTAGAAGTTCGAATTCAGGGCGCCAGCTCTAGGGGAAGGCCTGTCTTTGTTGGCCCTAGGGGAAGGTCGTTGTCTCTTTTCAGCTTCGGTTCCTTGGTGATCTTCAAGTGGTATCCGTCTCCCTATCTGTGCCTGCTTGCCTCTGTGCCTGATCTGCTCTTTTAAATCTCAAGAGTGATTGGCTTAAGACACACCCTCCATTGATATGGGTTCATTAACATAACAAAACCCTGTTCCCAAAAGGGATTATGTTGTATGTTGCTTTGTGCCATCAAGTAGATTCCAATTCATAGCGACCCTAGGACAGAGTGGAACTGCCCCCAGAGGATTTCCTAGGCTGTAGTCTTTACAGGGAAACCCTGGTGGCATAGTGGTTAAGAGCTATGGCTGCTAACCAGAATGTTGGCAGTTCAAATCCACCAGGTGCTCCTTGGAAACCCTATGGGGCAGTTCTGCTCTGTCCTTCAGGGTCGGTATGAGTTGGAATCGACAGCATTGGGTTTGGTATTTGGTTTTTTAATCTTTACAGAAGCAGACTGCCACGTCTTTTCTTCCATGGAGCGGCTGGTGGGTTCAGACTGCCACCCTTTTGGTTAGTAGCCGAGCACTTAACCACTGTGCCACCAGGGCTCCTTTCCACAGGTATAAAAGAAAGCAAAAGCCGTTGCTGTCGAGTCGATTCCGACTGCAAGCGACCCTATAGGACAGAGTAGAACTGCACCATAGGGTTTCCAAGGAGCAGCTGGTGGATTCCAACTGCTGACCTTTTGGTTAGCAGCCAAGTGCTTAAGGGGTTAGGATTTGCAACACATATCTTGAGGGGCACAATTCAGTCCATTACAGATGGTAAAAGTAAAATACTAAAATTTTTTAAGCTACAATAAAGTCATAAAATATGGCACACAAAGTATTTTTTCTGGCTTTCTTATGCCATGTAAAAAGTTCTCTATTACAATCTTTGGGAAGAGTTTTGTTAAGGGTCTGATCTTATGGGTCCTTTCTTTAACTGGCAGAGTATGTGACAATGTGGTTTTAGGTTGCAGACATATTTGAAGAAACAGCCTCATAAACTAGCGTCCTTCATTCAACACAGCATCTTATTGAGCTCTTGCTGTCTGCAGTGCACCTGCCACCCTTCACGGCAGG